ATTCAAAAGACAACTGTGACATTTGCAGGAAATTGTAACTTCTACACTTCTTAAATTTGTAAATAATCTCACTATAAAAGTGAGACTTCAGGAGTTTTTTTACTTTTTATTTACAGGCAGCTCCAGTCTGGTTGGCAGAGGACATTTTTTGAGTGGTAGTCTTTGGACAAGAAGGCCGGACAGCTTGAGCACTTGAATCCGCTACTTTGTGCGGAGTCTGTGGGTATCCCTCTGACGTCTGAGCACTGTGGTGTGCTGTTTCACCAGGAAACGCTTATCTGAGCTACTCTGCGAGGGAGACACATACACATTTACACACTCACAGTGGAAAAGCTCAACATACATATGGACTCCATATTAATTATGCTGTGTAACGCGAATATGTCCTATTTTCATTCTGCGGCTAATTTCAAGATATGTAAGTTGTTTGGTGATGTGTGTCTTACCATAACCAGCATGTCTTTCAGTCTCTCAATGGCCTTCTGATTGGCTCGACCCCGTGACACATAGGATGTTAAGATTATACTGAGGGAACACAATGTGTTTCATGTTAAATTCAAAAAGCAGAGAACGGCACGTCTACTTTCATCACTGCTTCTATTCATTGATGATCACCACATGTATGTAGCTGAACACACATAGCTTCTACTGTTGTTCCTTCACCCTAAGGTTGAAACAGCTTCATAGTAAAATGTACTATTTAAATTTGTTTTACCTGGGAAAATTAAAGCAAACTGCAAATACAGAGCTGGAGTTTAGCTACCACACTTACATTTCAGCAAGTATGAGTGGCAGGGCGAAGGCCATGGAGGTCAGGTAGTGGAGAGTGCTCTGTGCCAGGTTGGGCAGACTATTCACACAAACCCCTGTCACATTAAACACTGTTTCTCTATTTCCAAGTGGACCACAGGAGGACCTGGAGAGGAAACAGTAATATGAAACAGACAAACAGAAATAAATCTTCTGTTCTCTGTAACAATAACTGTAAAATGATAAAAAGATATCAGAGTTGCAATAGGAAGAGTACCCATTGTCCAGTGTGACTTGTTGATAGAGGTTGAAGCCCAGTGTGAATACAGCCATGATGAGACCGAGCAGCAACATGAAGTGGAATAAAACTGAGGACGTGGCGGCTCGAAACATGCGGTCCTCTGCAACACAGCATCGCAACAGTGTGAACTGAAAACAGAGTTGGAAAGAGAGACACGTGGACATTACTGGACAAATACAACTGATGGTCACAGCAGAGCAACAGACCTTACATTAGGACAAATAGAGATATGGACACAGTGTGAGATA